TGCAGGTTTCCTCCCTTCGCCGTGCGACCCGCGGAAACCGCAGTCCCGGTAATCCTCTGGAGGCAGTTGGTGATATCAGGCTCCGGAGTGGATCGACAAGGTCAATCTCTGAGAGGCTGAGAGATGACCAGCGCCAGGCCCCAAGAATGGTGCAAGCTCCCCACACCTCTACCTCCCTCCAAATGATTTCTTGATCAAAGTGGGCCAGCAGGATGGAGACAACAACGGCTCAATAGTCAGACCCGGGCGGAAGCCGCCGCGCGAATGTCGGCCTAACGATTATTGAGCAAGAGTGGAGAAGCCCTGCAGTAGCAGCGGCGCAGATGTGAGTACTCAAGTCAGTTTATGAAGGACTCCAGGGACGCGATTTGTGTTCGGTCAACGTGCACGCGGTCAGTACAGAACTCCATTCTGCTCATGCGAGAATATCCTGTTTGCACAGCGTTGTGCTACCCGTAGAGCCCGCAACCGGCTCTTTCTGTGGTTCGCCTGCACTCCTTCTCAACTATTGTGCTACCTGCCTGATCTAGAATTTCTAATAAAGCACAATTAGCCCTAAACTACAAAAAGATCCGGGATGCATTCTCTTCCCTACTGAGTGTTATGCCGAGTTGCAGCCCATGTCAGGCGCTCGCGTTGTGGCGGCGCCTTTCCTGCACGTCTGAAGCAGGTGCCCAAACAGCTGCGTTTCTCTGCGGCTTGATGTTAGCTGAAGCTTCCCTCGCACATGCTCAGCAATGACCCTGCTCGAAAAGTGCTTTAAAGAAATATTATTGAATGAAAAATAGAATGCGAGTCGCAAAATGCAAGCACTGCTCTATTCATTTTGTGTGTGAAACGAGCGTCCGTGCCTAAATGAGAACATGGTCATTTGGTTGTCTTCGTTGGTTGGTCGATGTGCTGCCAGTGCCAAGGCGCATCTTCTTTTCCAGCCACTTTATTGCCGCGATAAAGCTCTCTTGTCCTGCAACGCTACTGGGGCGGGGTCGATCCTTCCGTGATCACCATGGTTCGCCGAGGGGAGTCTGGCCGAGTCACGGCGCTAGCGTCGACAAATTTCTGGACTCGGTTCTCCCGCAGAGAAATAGCTTGGCCCATAACTTCATCTGGCCGTTTACTCATCTGGCCGTTTACTCATCTGGCCGTTTACTCATCTGGCCGTTTGCCGTGACACGCTTGGACCGTCTTGCGCAACAATCCAGGTCAGTGGTTCTGGCCAGCGCCTTCTGGCCAATTCTTCTTATGCTAGCGGCTCTCGCTTGTCCAATGTCGCACCAGTTGAAAAGTTTTCCACGTACCCCTTCCTCCACAGGATTACGCCCACTCTCCTCACCATCCACTATGATTTGTGAGACCCCATTGTCTCACTTCCTTCCTGGTCAACTGAAAGTCGGCTCTTAGCTCTATTGCCGACTTTCTGCTCGCTTTCTTCCACGATTTCCAGATTTATTTATCTATGGGCGACCCATCCCCTGGCTTTCTGCTCATCCCACACTTGACCAACCAGTGGCTCGGCCCGATGGCGTGACTGTTCTCGTTCGTTCATTGCATGCCATTCGCACCGTGCAACCGCTTATCCTTCTCTTTCCTGAGTGGCAGTTGTTTCTGCCGATCTGCCTGCCACCCCGCCTCACAAGCACCAAACCGGAACAAGGGTCCATAGGTCGCGGTTGGCCCCTGTTGCGTTAAGGGCGCAGGCTCCTAGCCAGAACCGTAGCCACTCGCCCCTACCCTGCACCGTGCAAACCAAGATTGCGCGATGAAGAGACACAACTCTCCCCTGTAAAAATTCTTCTCTCTTTCGAGCTGTTAGTGGCTTGTTAGTGGGGCTGAATTTTCAGGCCACATGCCGCGCTTTTTGCTGCTAGGGCCTATCGTGGCCCTAACAGCACAAAAGATGACCTTCGGAGCAGCAGTTCATCATCTTTTGTAAAGCCGGCCTTGACTATTTGTCCACGCGGACCTCATGGTGTCCTTCAGAACCAAGGAACCATGGGTATTGGAAGTTCTTCCCTTCCAAACAACGGTGGCTGGTTGCGGAGGTTTTTCTCCCTCCCTGAAGGCAAGCTGCTTGACAGCCTCTGATTCCTTCCGAGGGTTTTCCCTACCGCCGCCCCTGCGCTATTTCTATCGCTCGGTTACTGGAGGATAGACTGCGGCAGCAGTGTTAGCGCAAGAGCGAGAGAATTCTGACCACGAAAACCATGGGTTTAGGGCTCCTGCTGGTCCCCTTCAAGACCAGGCGACAAGAGTTGTGGACGCGGCACGCTCCCGGGCGGGCCGCGTCGACATCATCGTGATCCCGCTAACGGGTATCGATACAGACAACAATCTGCCTTCGGGCGCGAAACTGCTACAGCTGGAGGACGGTTAGATGGAGGAATTCCCCGGGGGTATTCCGTTGAGAGCATGAGCGTGATTTGTCGCGTTCTGTGGAAACCTACTAAGTGGGTGCAATCATGTATCAACAGTCTGTTGATAGCTCGATAGCACGTCTTAAAGCCTACTCTAGGGCGCAGTAAAAGACGTTAATTTACACACACACACACACACACACACGCGATGAAGAGACATTCAATACGGCAGAAGGACACGAGTTCGTTGAATGACATTTGATTCATACTGAAAAAGTTTTAAAAAAAATCTGTTACATATCATCTGCTGTCTACGTCTACCTCCCCACGATGATGTTTACTACTCCGATAGACCTGCCGCGTTATCAGTGGTGTGTAACACCGAAAACAAAGGAAATATATGAGATTTTACGAGTAGCGTCAACTACTCGGGCTAGATTCTATACAGAGCGCTCTAGGCTTGTACTCCCTACGCGGAGCTATATGCGCTTGTTGATCTTCGAATAATAGAAGTCAGCAATGCGTACATACACCTTGTAGGTGTGATGGGTTGCTAGTAAGTTGATTCAACTGCCTAGTTCCTACGCTGTTTAATATCAAGAAGGAAGAACTAATCTCCATAGAATAGGGCAGCAAATATAGCTTAGGAAATGGAAGGTTCCAGGATCTCGGCGGCATAGGCGCCGCTCAAGTGGCTTGCCCGTTACATAGAGAAGCTCTCCGCTTGCATCAAGGTCATCATCAGCAAGAGCTACCCTGCCGTCTTTGCTAAGCCATGATTTGAGGCATTCGGTAGCTTCGCTGCTTTCAATGCCCATGCGGTTCCTTCGGTCCGGTGAACTTGGCTCCCGAAAACAGACGCTCAGGCTCCGCCGACGTGGACTAGAATCCTAATAAGGTAATAGCATGACCGTGCGGAAATCCTTCGCCCGTCCGGCCAATCGCGCGACGTCGCGCGACGTGGGTGAGCTCCGCCCTAGTGTGTCGCGCGACCCGCTTCAGCTGAACGAGCCAGGCATCCTTGCAGAAAACTGTTTATTGTTGTTCATTTCTTGTCTGCAGCACTCAGCTCATGGAGGCCTCTCCAGGCCGTGACGAAGATAGAATGTATGGAGCTGACAGTGTTGTTATGCTATATTTGACTCTTCTGCTGGGTAAAATAATATTCTGCATCAGATGGCATAAGCGCTCACGTTGCCCATCTAATGCATCTGACTACCTGATTTTCCTTGACTCTATTAACACCTCTACAGATAGCAGTTCGCACCGTGTCCACGACCAGCGGCTTGTGAATCATAGCGATACCACAACGGTCTTGTTCACTTGCTAAATAATAGCTGTGCATACCTCGTAGCTATCTATTTGTGGTCGATCACCGCAATTGTCACCACATCTATCGTATGGGCACTATTTACCTTGACCATGACTGATTATACTTTGTACGAGTAAGTGCTGCTCGTAAAGTTGAGATAAGGAGAATTTGTTGCTTTGCGCACCTACCCTGTAATCCTAGACACGCGATGGGCAATAGGAGCAGAGAAAAATTTATTACTTTTAAGGCATATATAGGTTGATTATACTGCGAAATAAATGCTTGGACTATGTCATGACTCCAGGCATCCGTGCAGGAAACCGTTTATCAAAGTACGCTTTACAGTCCTGCCTCATGAATTTTGCAGTGCCGTGACATGCTCAGCCCTGCCTGTAGGATCAAGAATTTCCGTGAACCATGATTGCTGGAAAAGGAATCGATTCGGCCAGTAACAATGCAGACAAGAAGAAAATCGAAGGCACCTGGAACAGCGAGGAGAGACCTTATCTAACCATAAAATATAGAATATATCTTTATCCTTCTTAGTAATAATAGTTTATAGTTAACTTTTAATAGTTTCTATTTAATAAAGAATAGTTTAATTTTCTTCTAGTTAAGTTTATTATTAGATTATTTTATTTTAATATTTTTATAGATAAAGTAAACTTTATCTCCCCTCTCTAGGATTAGTACTAGTAATCTCTTTTTATCTATATAGTGTTTTATTTAATTCTATAAAAATATCTATTCTATTTATAAGTACTTCTATATTTTTATAATTATTACTATATATACTATAGCTACTAGTGTGTTTATATTCTATATTATATATATTTTAATTATAAGGTTATTATAATAGTGGCTCTTCTCTAATCTATAGTAAATCTGTTTCTTAGGTATTAGCATGACCGTGCGGAAATGCGCGACGCCGCGCGACCTGGGTGAGCTCCGCTCTGGTGTGTCGCGCGACCCGCTTCAGCTGAACGAGCCAGGCATCTCTGCAGAAAACTGGTTAACAATTAACTATGAATCCTCTACGCTGTAGCACTCGGTGAGCCGAGGCCAATTATTTCTTCCTAAGCCGTGACCAATTCGGGAGCCCGCCTTTCCAGATTGCTGTGCTAAACCCTGCTTCTTTTGGCTCCTTTTATCGGTGTTAATGTGGTGCGAGACTTGCTGATGCAACTGTTCTGGTTAGTCAGCACACGCACGACAAATTTCACGACGCCTTTGCGCCGTGACAGGATCCAGCGCCCGCTACTTTTCTGTCTGGCCAGCACCATCAACAACATCATCTTTCGACAAAACGATCATCGCGATCACCAATAAACACGATGTCGCAAGAAGAAATTGAAAATCTCAAAAGGTTGCTGAAAGAATCAAAGGCGCGGGAGGAAAAAGAGCGACGCGAGAAGGAGAACGAGCGACGCGAGAAGGAGAACGAGCGACGCGAGAAGGAGAACGAGCGACGCGAGAAGGAGAACACGCGAGAAGGAGAAAGGCGCGAGAAGAGAACGAGCGACGTGAGAAGGAACACGAGCAACGCAAAAACCAAAATACGACTCTAGCGGAGTACTTGTACAACTGTCACTTCGACCTGTACCAAAAACTTAGGCTTGCTAGCCCCTCGAAAAGCTCTACTGGTCTTGCAACCTCAGTGAACGGCAAATACTATCCGAAATTCCTCTACCCCTGGCGAGCCTTTGCCGACAACCAGCGACAAGAACACTTCAACGACATTGTCCGCATCTGCGGCGACAGGCGGCTTTTCCAGCTAGAGAGCACAACAAGAGAGAATGGAATGAGCTTCGAGCGTAAGAAAGCCGGTTATGAAAATGCCATCGACCACTTTGAAAAATTAGCCGTCGAAGACCCTACGTGGAATATTTTGGAACCCCTTTGGACCGATGAGCGGTTGCGCCAGAAGTACCAAACTACGGATATATCCTTCACTAATGGTATTCGCAACTTTAACGACCTCAATGAAGATCTCGAAACTAGGGTCAGAACTGAGAGGAAAAAGCAGCAGCCTGACGGTGGTGGCATCCGAACAGACATAGACGGGAACGAGAGCGCGGCCTTCATGTATGATTATAAGGCTGCGCACAAGTTTGCCGTAGAGCATCTCGAGGCGGCTCTTGCAAAAGAGACGCTCTTCATGGATGTCCACAAGCGGATACAGGCTGAGCAGTACAGAACGGACTCGACAGTGCGAGAGAGAGAAGAGGCGCGGATTGCCATGGCACTAATACAAGTCTTCAATTATATGTTTTGGTATGGGGTCAGGTACGGCTATGTCGCCGCCGGGAAATCCTTGGTGCTACTTTACTACGACCGAGCAGAACCACTTGTCTTACGCTGGCATCTTTGTGTACCAGACAAGGCGGTGACTCGAGCAACAGCCGAGCTCCGGGTCGATCAAGTGTCTCACACTGCGGTCGCTCAGCTTGCTAGCTTTTGTCTCTTGAGCCTCCGCTCTCCGGCGCTTACGGGCCGTCCATTCCGGGAGGCAGTGAATCGGGCGGAGTCTGTTCTGAAGAAATGGAAAAAAGAGGATTACACGGACCCGGTAACTCCTCCAGCGCAAGATGACACAGATTCATCGTCGGCTCCACCCTCGAGGGGCACGGACGGATCATTTAACTGTGATGCATCCCCAGTGACGCGGAAATACCCATTGCGGTCGTGCAAGGATTTTGCGCCGCTTCCCGAACGACACGACGATGACCACGACGATGACCACGACGATGACCACGATGACGAAGCGGCGGATAAACAATATCAAAGCGGGACAGGATCCGGGCTCAACTGGCGAGAGAAAGGCTCCAGCAGAAAGGGTGGTGATGATGGCCCTGAAGGCTCTGCTACGGCTCCCACACGACAATATTGCACACAAGCTTGCCTTCTTAGCCTCAAGCTGGGCCGCACACTGGATAGCAGGTGCCCTAACGTGCTCTCCCATTGTGTTCGCGGCGGCGCACAGCACCCGATCAACGCTAAGGAGTTTACCGAGTTAGTGCGCGAGCAGCTGCGTCAGGACCCGTACCAGGGTTGCGATGCGCTCATCGGCCGGGGCAAAGTCGGGTCAAGCGGAGTGCTGTTCAGACTGGAGCTAGCACAGTTCGGTTACACTTTTGTCGGCAAGGGCAGCGTGTCTAAGCGCCCAAGGCGCTTAGAACACGAGTGTACCGTCTATCAACGACTTGACAAGCTTCAGGGTGAAGTAGTGCCGGTGCATCTAGGCATGGTCTCGTTCGATCCTGGCTACCTCTTACCTGGTGGTGCATCCGTGGTCCACATGATGCTGATGTCATGGGCTGGAGAGGTGGCGACGGAGGCTGCAACGCCGAACCTGCAAGGCGAGGTGCAGCGTTCGATAAAAACGCTCTATGAGAATGGGGTGGACCATCAAGACGAACGAGGACCTAATTTGCTCTGGAACGCTGAGCAAGGTCGCGTAATGGTGATCGATTTTGATCGCGCAGCCCTGCTCCGACCACCTCAACACAAGCTATTGTCTAAACTTTCTAAAACGGGGAGAAAACGAAGAGGAGACGAGCTGAGAAACCATACCGAAAAGCGGAGTCTGCTGAGAAGCGCTCTACAGTCTGTACGGTAATAAAAGAACAAGCCGGACACTATAATTAATTCTTCCGGAGAAGAAAAAGGGTCTATAAATTCTATTGGCATGTTTCAAAGGTTGCTTGTGCTAACGAACAAAGTCCCTTGCTCGATCGGAGCCCGATCGACTGAGCAAGCTAACGCAGCAACTAATGCTGACAAGTTCAAGCCCATTCCAAGATTGGCATAACAATCGAATTTCGTGGCATCGAATTCTGAAGAAGAACGCTCTTCAATGCCCTATTCACATATGTAAATGCAGAGCCCAAACATACTCATAATTTTGATCTCTTTCTTGAGCGGCATTATCGCTCCTGTAAAACCAACTAGTTGCGCATTCAGATGAGCCAAACTCTTCAGTCGTTGGAAATCTTGAGACCAGAGAGAAAGCTCTTGGGTTCCAACAGACGGGTGTTATTAGGCAATGTGTCGTAGGTCACGCCAGAAGCCACCTTCAGTTGCTCGATGAAGTTCGACCGCGGTGTTAGATTCGTTGGGTATGATTTATCCTTCAGGTTGGTGAGAGAGCCCTTTGATGTGTGTGATCTATCTCGTTAGTCAATGTGAATTTGGAGAAAGACTCAGTCTGTGGCAGGCAGCAGTGTACTCGTACAACATTGTGGCACGAGCATGTTCTTCAGACGTTTCGGCTCGTTGCCGCTCTTTCTCAGCGTGTTGCTGTGCTCTTTCAACGCATTGCCGCTCTTCCAGGCGGTGTTTGCCAATTCCTCAACGCGTTGTTTTCCTGATCGGCGTGTTGTTCTTCAAAGCGTTATTTACCGAATTCCTCGGCGCGCTGCTCCGCTACGCGTACGTGCTGGAAACAGTCTGCCGTACATATTGCCGGTCAGACCTATTTCACGATTCCTGTAAACAGCCTCGATTGTTGTATGTATTTTTGAATTTCCCCGAGTATCTGTATCCAGGCGTAGTTTTGCGCAAATCGTTCTCTGCGATTCTTGGCATTGGGCTGAGAAAGTTGGGCAGCCAGCTGGTGAATGGTAGGCATGCACAGGTGCTGATGACTGGCCATATGTAACAGACTTCAATTTAGTATAATTGGTAAATACGTAGCTTGTTAAAAAGGTAGCACGTTGAACATGTACATGTTTAAGAGCATCATCTCAGCGTTGTACACAAATGTCATGCCGCGCTCTGAATCTTGCTCTCGAAAAGCAGTAAACAGCTCCTGATTAACCCTTTGACATGAACTGGCTTTGGTTTAAAAACGGCGCCGAACATTTCTGTCAGGGCCCTATTGGGGCACCTGTTAGAGCTCCTACGTTATATGTGTCAGGTGCGTGGGAGCACCTATAAAACAGCGAGCTGCCGCCGAGCTCCCTACGAGGAGGCAGCGATAATTCCATATCATAAAAATACATAAGGGATCATTACGTGACTGGAGTCCTCCGAGCGAAGCACCTCACAATGGCTTAACGTAATTCTTCTCTCTTTGCAATTTCTATGTATCATAGTTTCGACATTTTCTCAAAAGCCTTTAAAAACGCCCACCGCACGCTGCCTTTCCACCCCTTCTCACTAAAGCGTTCAGCTGTTTTTGGAAAAAAGTCTACTACGTTTAGCAGACTAGAATCATGAGCGAACACAACAAAAACATTCTCCAAGGCGTCGAACTCCTGTACTTTTCCAATAGTTTCCACAACAGTAGCCGCATCTAAGTGGCTTCCTTTATCTGTCGGCTGAAGTATCGGCGTTGTCGCATTAAAATCTCTCAAGATTTTGGCGAACACATCTCTAGGATAAAATGTGGTGCGCGGGTTGATAGTAGACGGCAAACTCGCTGGCAGCGGTAGCCATTTGCTTGGTCGTAGTTCTCCGGCATGGTGCACAACATCACCACCAAGAAACACAAACGAAGCTGGAGACTTGGCTACTCGAGCGAGTGCAGCCATGTGCCCGTGAGCGTGACCAGGCGCATCAAGAAGGTAGAAACTGCCGTCGGCGAAATAGTCGAATGCATTAAACCGACCAATCTTTAGTTTTGTGCTACTGAAGTCAATATCTCGTACCTCTCGGCCTGCGAAATCAGCGTCCAATAAGCTGCTATGAGGATCGGTCGGATATCCAGGCATGAGATTCTCCTTAATACCCGGACCAACTATCAAGGCTGTTCCAGAGTCAAATGTCGACGGGTCTCCCGTGTGGTCAAAGTGAGCATGGCTCCCAGACAATTGCCTCGATATTATTCTGCCGAGGTGTCAATACCTTGCTCATCTAAAATCTCACGGACCCCTTTATTGACTGTAATGCCAAAGCCAATTGTCTTGATCAGTCGAACCAAGGCAGGTGCCAGATTTTCCCAATCTTTTCGCACTCCTAAATCGAAGAGTATGGTGCGATTCTGCTGTTGATTCTGGACCAGAAAGGCGTATGCAGGGCTTGATGATCCTTTCTGGCCTTTTATTACTGGCTTCGTAAATGCATCTGCGGGCCCAGATATGTATGACGTTGTATCAATGATCGACAGAGATACAGTACTTTCCGAGTGTGGGATCTCCACATTGGGGCGTTCAGGATTTGACATTGCAAATAAAGAAACGGTTGATACTGCTCTTGATCTGTTGAGTGGTGTAAAGCAATCAAGAGTGGAACCAGGAACGGCAAGTGCGTCGAATTAAACAGTGAGAACTGCTCGGAACATGGTGACTTTAATACTTGGCCGAAATGTGTGGCCGACCGATATGCGTTTGTTCGAGCCGCGGTCCGCGGCTGACAATTGATTAGGCTATCTAGCTCGGATGGAGCGTAATCTTTCTGTTCTCTTCCCCAGTACTGGACTTTACAGTGTATTTTATGGCGTGCTTACAAAACGAATGAAAATGTAATGACAACAGAGCCTTCCACAAACCTAAAGCTATTCTACGGCAGCCCTTGATACAGTTTCGCGATGAACCTACTGCTTTTGGCGGAAGGAGGGGTGGCCGAGGCGTGGCAGGGTCAGTAGATCCAGAAAATTGTAATTGAACCTATGGAGGCTTTTTTCCAGGCGATAAAAGTAGTTAAGTCTTATTAAGAAAACAATTTTGCTTCTCGTGCTTTAAAATAATATCGCCTACACTAATCAGCAAGACAAGCAAGAGTAGTATTTACTAATTACTACTATAAAAATGCAGAGTTAGAGCACGCAGATCAGTAATAGCAAAATTCAAGCAGTAATACTATATTCATTATTAATTCAAACTATATCTACTAAGGGCCGGATTATAAGAGTCTAGGGGACTTAGTCTAGTAGTCTCCTAGAAGACTCCCCCACTATTTCTTTTACATATAAATATAACTTAGGCCCTATAGGCAGCCCCCCCATAATAGAAGTACTACTCCAGTTAGGGGCCCTATGTAACGGTGGCTTAATCCTAATCCACAGTTGGTCTGTTTCTTAGGTAGAGAGTCGGTTTGAATGCACAGAGTGCCAACGAGCAGTTATCGTAGCGTAAGTCACGTTAGGAGATGTCTCCCAATAGTAGAGCTATTGCTTAGATTGATCAGTAGAGATCTAGACTACCTAGCTATGGGAACACCTCCTCCTTAAGTACTCGTCTACCTCTCTACTGTAACTCTGGATAGCTGGATCATCTATCTATCCATCGATCATTCTGATCATGGTGATCGATGAGTGATCCATCGATCACTTCGCAGGTCACGTGACCTCGCGTCCTATTTGGGATACTGGTGTGTCTGACTTGGCCCGACTCACTCAGCCCCACCTGTGCATCCTGTGCGTTCGTAACACCCTAGTAGCTGTCTTTTCTACCCACTTTCTACCCACTTTCTACCTCTTTAAGCCCTAAAAACCTATAAGACTTATGGTTTATAGTCCTAGCTAAATCACGTAGGACTACACGCGTGGGACTAGTATAATGGCCCTATATCCACCTAAATTGATGTACCTTAGTCTTAGTCCCTAAGACTAGTCTTGATCTCATGATCCGGCCCTAATATAGTAAGAACGACTGTAATACTATAGTACCTCTACTGCCTATACCTCACTAATAATACGCTACTGTAAAATAATACTTTAGTAATTATTAGAATTCAACTATTACTATATACTACTACCGTAAAAACCGTTATGGGTGTCGCTAGCGCTTTTAGTTAATTTTAGTTACTGGCGGGGTAAATCAGAACCGCTATTTCTGGCTCTCTAGCCAGCAGCCAAAATACACCCCATTAAAATTATTATGTTAGAAACCCGCGACACCCATAACGGGTTTTACGGTACGTATATACACACGTTTAGTAATCCTAAGAATTAAACTACTACTACAGTATATACTACTATCTGCTATTATCTACTCACACAGGCAGTTTTGCCGACGTTTAGAGTTTCGAATCCGCATTCCTGGCGCTAGGGCATTCAAACGGCCGGAATCAAATTTCATACCGTAGCCGCCTCGACCTACCCCGCGCCGGCAAATCGATTATTGGCTGCACGCGGTCTATGCAATACTTATACATAAAGCACAGCTCTACTAAGGCAAGAAAACTTAGGCCCTACCTCCTAGTTAGAGATCGGCCTTAATTGCGTTAATACCATCTACACGTAAGTATCATTCGTCGAAAACCCGGATAAAGTCACGAAGTACTAAACTTACTCTATCCAGAATAACAAACAGAGCTCGATCTATCTCGTCTTAGCAACCTACCCTTAGCAGAATGTCTCCAGGAGCCATCAGCGGCGAGGTAACCCGTCCAGCGTATAAATGGCGTCCAGATCTTGGCTTGGTGTCTTACGGTGCACCGTTTGATATTCTTGCCAGAGCGCACATCGAGCGTCTACATTGCCGGCGCGTCCTTATCATTGTATCCGGGTCCCTATCACGGAACACGATCGAAGTCGAGAAGCTCGAAAATACCCTCGGCAATCTGATTGTGGCGAAGAGAGTGGGAATGAAATCCCACTCAGATTGGCAAGAGATTTTAGACGTGACCGAGCAAGCGTAAGCTTTAGAACGCCGCGAGCTGAAGCAAGAAGGGCAC